ACATTTATGGCACAGTGCCTTGAGACCTGGACTTGGAATCAGGAAGATTTCAATTCAAATCCACCTTCAGATACTTCCAGCTGAATGACCCTGGGCTGGTCACTTAAGTGGTACCAGCTTCAGTTTCCTCCTCTATAAAATGAGGAAAATAATAGCAGCTATCTCCCAGAATTGTTGTAAGGCCTAATTACAAAAACATAACACGTTTTGCCAACCTTAAAATGCTATATAAATGTCAGCCATTATTATTCGTATGGGTATGGAATATAAATTCTATGATATTATTGCTATTATTGTTGTTATTTATCACCATCATCATCATCATCATTATTATACAGGCTGAGTCAATAAACTCAAGGCATTCTGAGACAGACGAAGAAGAGGCGACTTATAGGTATGGGACACACAAAGCTACAGAAGTAGAGCTAGAATGCCAAGGTCAGAAAAAAAAAAGTAGGTAAGCCAGGTTGGTTGGAACACAGAATGTAAAATATTTCATACTATGTTCCAAAATAAGATTTCTTTTTTTTTTTTTCCAACCATACTTGAACTCCAGGGGTATTTCTAATTGGGATAACCAGACTTATATTAACTCAACTGGCTTCTTAGCAAGGATTATGCACTTTTTTTTAACCAGCAAAATATTTATTTGGCTATTGGCTCAGTGCTTTGTATGGTTCAGTACTGATCAGTATCTGTTTAATGTCATAACTGATTTGGGATTAGCATTAGTATATAGCAATATTTAATAAAGGCTTGGTGATTGATTGTTTCATGCTGCCGTATTGACTGAAGTCTTGAATGTGCCCTGCATGGGCCATTCAGTTTATTGTAGCTGGGTGTGGAAAGGAAAAGGTTAATTTGGCCTTGACTTTAGTATGACTAATTAATTATTCCTAAACCCTGGACTGAGCTAATTGCTCCCACTAGCTAAATTAGAACTAAGCTGTGGAAATTTTTAATTCTACCATTTCTGTCATGGTTTCACTGTGTAACTTTTAAGTCACTCTGTTCCTCCTTCCTCCCAATAAACTGGGAATAATAATACTGTTAACCACCTGCGCAGAGTTACAGCAAGTCAGGGTAAGAATGATTGGCTTTCACCTTTGGTTCCTCTCTTGGTTAAAGATGGTTCTTTAAAATGTACTCGGAAAATTAACCTTGGAATATACTACTCAGGCTAGGGAAAATGAAAGAAACTACTTAAATCTTTCGGTTTGTTCTTTTACCTTTTTTTTTTAAGCTAGGCAATGGGGTTAAGTGACTTGCACATGGTCACACAGCTAGCAAGTGTTATGTGTCTGAGGCCGCATTTAAACTCAGGTCCTCCTGAATCCAGGGCTGGTGCTCTATCCACTGTGCCACCTAGCTGCTCCTTGTTCTTTTACTTCTTAACCATAGATGTAATCAAGGACACAGTCTGCTACCAACCAGGGGGTAGGGACCTAGAACCCTAGCACCTTTTAAAAAATCATTTAAACCCTTGTGTCCTGAAGGTGCTGAATGATGCCTGGAGTTCACCAAATTTCTAGCTAAAAGGAGTTATATAAAGACCTGAAAAATAATTATTTTCCTTGGACAAATGATCTCTAAGAATATCCAGAGATAGCAGGCAGAGTGATTCATCAGCAGGTCTTTTGAGTCAGTCTTAAACCAAAGGCCCCAGCAGGCTCCTAGAGACTTTGTGCCATTAGCCATATCAAATGAGATCTTAAAATCCTTAACTTAGCCAGTAAGGAAACCCAAGGCTCTTTTGAAAAGAGGAGAGGTATTCCTTGCTATGACCTAGTCAGATTCCAATTAGGGTAATTACATTCTTCCTCCTCAAATTCCCCTGCAGTGTTCACTGGCTACAGCCACCTTTTTTATTTCCTGTTCTTAAACAGTTGCATTGTCTCCCACACAGATGCTCTCTCCACCTAAGCAGTGTTTGCATGTCTAAGGTAATCCTCAGTGGGAGGACTGAGTCATACGTCTTTCTGCTTGCTGATTTAGTCTAGGGATCTTCTTGAATGAAAGATGTACTGTAAGTGGAAGTTATTATTGCTACTGAATCTAAAAGCAGCAGGCTCTCCATCTATAACCCAAACTATGGCAAACATTGCCCTGGATGGTATATAAAAAAAATGCTTGACAAATTCACATCCAAGTTTTTTGGATTAAAGGATTTTTAAAAATCTAATTTTATTGATGTCTTTTGTTTTTGCTTCACAGTCACTTCTGGAAATGTCCACTGCTCCTCACTCTTCTAGAAAGAAAAAAGAAAAACAATTATGCAAAAACATCTGTGTGTGAGTATATATATATATATAAAAATAAAAATATTCTGCCCCAGTGGTCTCCTACCTCTCTACTGTGGGAAGAGAACTATTTATTCTCCTGGACCATTATAGGTTTTCTTTTCTTTTTTTGGTGATCTTTTCAATGACATAGTTAAACTCACTGTGTATATTGTTCTGCTTCAGTGATTTGTAATCACTTGTAGATTCTTAAGCTTTCCTAAATAAGAAATGCTTTTTTGCCCAGTGAATGAAGGGTTGAATTAGATGGCTTTTGGGGGGGGAGGGGCTAGGCAATGTGGTTAAGTGACTTTCCCAAGGTCACACAGCTAGCAAGTGTTATGTGTCTGAGATCAGATTTGAACTCAGGTCCTCCTGAATCCAATGACAGTGCCCTATCCACTGCGCCACCTAGCTGCCCCTCTACATGGCTTTTTAAGGTCCCTTCCTGCCTTAAATCTATGATCCTATGATACTATGAAGACAACTTCGTTAGCCAAATGAATCAACCAACAACAGGACCAACTGTGTACGAGGTGTTGGGTGCTGGAGTCACAAAGACAAAACTGAACAGCTACCTCCTCCAGGAGCTTCTGTTCTCTCAGATAGGAAATGCTCCTGGCCCAAATCCACAGGATCTGTGATCCTTGTGGGCAGCGCGTGGGTTATTGCTTATGAAGGGAGACTTCACTAAGGTCTTACTTTATTTCCTCTATTTTCTAGCTTCACCCACAGGAGATGAGCATCACTACACTCCCCTCTTTCTTTCAGATTTCCCTCACAGAAAGTGGAGATGAAACTATTACCTTAACAGATGCCTTGCAGGGAGGGAGTGGTGAATTGAAGAATGCCATATATGGAGGTAGTTAGATTCTTCCTAATGATCATGTTGGGCACAAATAAAAAATTGTTCTCTTCCAATGTGTACTTAACCCCTTTACTAGGGAAGGCAATGTGATATTATGGACAGTGAGGTGGCATGGTGAATAGAGCACTGGGTTTGGAATCAGGAATACTCATTGTTGTGAGTTCAAATCCAGCCTTAGACACTGTGTGGCCCTGGGCAAGTCACTTAACCCTATTTGCCTCAGTTTCCTCCTCTGTAAAATGAGCTGGAGAAGGAAATGGCCAATCATTCCAGTCTCTTTGCCAAGAAAATCCCAAATAGGATCACAAAGAGTCAGACGTGACTGGAAGATGAATAAAACACAATGTAATATTATAGTCAGGAACAGCTGTCAAATCCTGCCACTAACACTCACTAGCTATGAGCGTAAGGCAGTAAAAATAATTTCTGATCCCCACTTTCCTCATCTGCAAAATAAGGATAATGCCTGTAACACCTAGCTCCCAGGTAAGATATAGGGTTCAAAGCAGAGAAGGCATGTAAATCACTCTGCAAACTATAAAGCCATACATAAGTGCCAGTGATTATCAGAGGTAGGGATTTAAAAAATTTTTTTCTAATTCAAATAGTAAAAATCTAGATGAGATTATGAAATACCAGAGGACCAGTTCTGGAAGCTCTTCCCCCAAGTTCGAATCCCTGATCCCCCCCCTTTTTTAAGTTGAGGTAAAACAGCAGTTTTGTGGCTTTAATGGCTCATATTTCCAAGTTGCATTTATGGCCTTGGGAACACAGTGATCACCTCGGTTGGTGGAAAAGCCTTAATGTCAAAGAAAGGTTGTCTATATTGGGTTTAGATTTTCCTACTTGTGCACAGTGGACAAAACTCAAAACTCTCTCTCTCTCCCACCCCCTACCAGTGGTGTGTTCTTCTTTGTACCCATATTAATTTTCTATTCGGGTAGTAGGATAAGCTTAATGCAGGCTCATTTCTTTCTTTCTTTCTTTCTTTCTTTCTTTCTTTCTTTCTTTCTTTCTTTCTTTCTTTCTTTCTTTCTTTCTTTCTTTCTTTCTTTCTTTCTCAGATCCATAATCGATCACTCTGAATTTGGTACAACATGTCATTCTCTCAGTGTTTTTTTGCAAACTTCTTTGAGGTCACCTTTCTAGGCAAGCTCTCCCTATAGAAGTATCTGGTACTAAATGTGGACTACCAAGAAAATACCATAGAATGCCAGAGCTAGAAGAGACCTCAGAGATCATCCACTCAACTCCCTCATTTTACGGCCCGAGCAAACTGACTCAGAGAGAGATGAAATGCTTGCCGAAGGTCACAGAGGAAGTGAGTCGGTTCCAACCTAAATCCTCCACCTCCAGCTCCAGCGCTCTCTACACTATCGAATGCTGCCGGAGGTGGAAGAGCTCCATCCCTCCAAATCTCTTTTCCCATTCCTCAGTTCTTTAACAGTGTCTCTGAGGTTTTCCCGCTAAGCGTTGCAGTGTAGATCTGAAAGCTTGGATGCCCTCCTGAATATGAGTGTGGGCTGCGTGTGAGTCTGCCAGTGAGTATGTCTGAGCTTCCGTGTGTATCTATGAGTCTGCGTATGGATGGATGTGGAGCTGCTCTGTGTTGACCAGCTCTGTGAGCGAGACTATGAGCTGGTCTGTCTGAGAGGGCACCAGTGCAACCAGTTTGTCTGTGGGTCGCTGTCTCTCTCTGCCTCTTTCCCTCCTTCCCCTCCCCATTTCCTCCCCGCCCCCCTCATACATACATACACTCACGCCCTCTCCCTTACCTGAAGCGCCAGCAATTGGCTGCTGTCTCGGCTGCGCTGGTTTGTACTGGCTCTTTTTAGGGCGGGGCGAGCCTGGAGGATGACAAAGCAAAGAAGAGCTACCCTGGAACCACCTCCGCCTCCGCCTCCTCCGCTGCCTCCTCCTGGGCTGCTTCTATTGCCCAGAGAGGCTGTTATGGAAACCAGCCTGGCTCGCAAAAGGCGATAATGGAGCAGCCATGGCCAGGGCCAGCAGCAGCGGCGGCGGCGGCGGCGGCGGCAGCTCTGCCCCACCAGAACGGGCAGGGGGCTCGGATCGGCTGGACCCCTGGGAGCTGTCCCTGGAGGAGGTGCTGAAGTCTTATGAACAGCCGATTAACGAGGAGCAGGCATGGGCCGTGTGTTACCAGTGCTGTCGCGGGCTGCTCGAGGCAGAGCCTGGAGGGGGCAGGATCCGGGACACGGCCGACATCCTCCTTCACAAGGATGGGACGGTCAGCGCGCAGCTGGAACCTGGTTCAGCTGGTGAGGATGGGCACTACCCTTAGAGCTCGGGAGGAGAGGGGATTGGAAAGGCGGGGAACAGCAGCTGCAGATCCCGCTCCCTACCCTACCCCTACCACTTCTCCCTCACTCCATCACCTTCCTGCTGCTGCTGCTTCTTCAGGTGGGTCTCTCATCAGACCCAGTTAGGATTAGGCAGACTTGGAGCTATCTATACTGTAGACTTAAGGAAGGGAAGAGATCAGAGAGAAGGAGAAACAGAGCAGGCATGTGAATTCAGATCCAGTTCCGATTTCTAGAGTGTAGAGAAGGGGAATAACCTTTTCTAGCCCCTAGTAGTCTTTTGCGTGACTCTGACATATACCGTCCCCGCCCCGTTCCCCCTCCCCCCGCCCGCCATGGTTAAGCAGAAGCTTTTAAAACTGCTCCATTTTTTTCCCCCCTAACAACTCCAACATCCGAGCACAACGCTTCTGTTTAAGTGTTTTGATATGGATTTTTAAGGTGGGGAGGTTGGGAAGGGGAGATTGCTAGGAGTTCTTGCCTCTTGATTATTGAATACCTGCAGCAGTGTCAGACTTACCCGAGTCCCTCCTCCCACCTCTTTCCTTTTGCCCTCCACCTGTGGTAGCCCCTTGACCTACTAAGATCTGCAGCCCTCAGATGACTGAGAAGCTAGGGTGACTCCACCACAATACATCCTATGTGCTGCAACACCAGAGAAGTATAGTATCTGAGTCCTGGGACTTCCAGAAAGCAATCCCTGTTATTATAAATAATAATAATAATAATCACAATTTTCATTAGAGTCACTGTACAACTTTGGGGTCTTTCATCTATCATTCTAAGTAATGATGTCAATTTCTTTCTCTCTCTCTCTCTCTCCCTCTTCCTCTCCCTCTCTCCCTCATCCCTCCCTCAAAGTTTATTCAAGATTGTGGTCTTAATCTTTTTTCTTCCAAAATCAGTTATTTTTAGCCCTTGAGAACCTGAATGCTACTACAAGGCACATGTTGATATGACCCTAAAAGTTGATTTCATGTTTGGGAAACACAAAGGCATTTCTGTGTGTTCCAGAGAGGATAGCTGGAATATCTCCAGCACTGAAACCTGTGGGTTTACAGAAATCAACAGAGACAGGCACCCAGGAAGGTGAGACAGGGCAATACCAAATTAAGGCAACACACAATGGATTGGCTTTGTGGCTTGGGAGGCTGGAGACCTTTGTTCTATTCGTGGTCCATGCTAGAGTGTGTCTTGCCCATTTCAGGGCAAGCCACTGACAATCCATCTGCCTCAATTCATATATATAATATATATCTGTGTGTATGTATGTGTATTATATATGTATGTGTGTATGTGTGTATGTATGTATATGTGCATATATACATATACACACAAATATACACACATATCCATATATACCTACATATGTGTATACATACATACAGAGACACACAGAGATCAATCATCTTTTGATGATGGGACTTGTCTAATGAAATGTTAAGCAAAATCCCATATATTGTTAGTGAGCACAAGTGACCTAGATAAGACCTGGTAGATACCTTGAGGCAATTTTAAGGAAATAGCCCCAGATCTATAGTGGCCAGAAAATTCATATAAGAGGTTAAATAGTAATATCTGTGCCTTTTATCTGAAGCTGTCATGACTTCCATATAAAATAAATCTGACCATGGGGAAAAAAGGATCCTTTCCCTTTCCCTGAGCTATCTAGTTTTGGACCACAGATACAGAGAATGACAGTTGTTCTCCAGAAGTGTTTAAGTTGCTGGTGCTTTAAGCTAAGTATATGTCATCAAGACCCTTTAAAACACCTACCCTATTACACTAAGAATTGGTAATGTTCCAATTTTGGCCATTCTTCTCCCTTAGAAATTTATTGGTTCCCTCTTTGCATCTATTTGGAAAAAAACAACTAGTTCAGAACATTGAAAGCAAAGCACCAAAGGTTGGTTCCCTGAGTAGAAGCTGACTTGAAATATAGTTTGGGGTTCAAGACTCAAATGTAATAAAAGTGAATCTGAACTTTGAACTTTGTAGGAAGTAACTATGGGCCACTCCCAGCTGAGGGAAGACAAATTCACTTTCTATCTGATCATTCATTACAAATATATCTTGCATAGGAGTGTGAGGTTAAAAACTAAAAAAAACAAAAACAAAAAACCTCCCAACTTTTTCTTTATCTTGAAAACTTTATGAGTCAGTTGAAACATTAGAGCAATTGTTTGGGTTTTTTTAAATTAAAAAAAATCCTAAATATATTCCATATTTCTACCATAAACAATGAGCCATCCTTTAAATTTCATTTTAGTTTTAAATAACAAGCATTCATTTTTCTCTCTCCAACATTATTATTTAAAGAAAAAAAAACTCTTGTAACAACTTGGCTTAGCTAAGCAAAACAAATTCCCACATTGTCCATGTCCCAAAAGTGTGTTTCATTCTGCATTTTGATTCTATCTCCTTTTTGTGAGTAGGGAGTAGCAAAAAGCATCATCAATTCTCTGGAATCATGGTTGATTATTCAGTTGATCAGAGTTCTCAAATCTTTCAAAGCTGTTTGCCTTTATAGTTGTTATTATTATGTAAATTATTCTCCTAACAATTTGGAACTATGCTCAAAGGGCTACAAAAATGTGCATACCCTTTGATCCAGCAATAGCACTTCTAGGGCTATATCCCAAAGAGATCAAACAAATGGGAAAAGGACCCACATGTACAAAAATATACATAGCAGCTCTTTTTGTGGTGGCAAAGAATTGGAAATTGAGAGGATGCCCATCCATTGGGGAATGGATGAGCAAGTTGTGGTATATGAATGTAATGGAATACTATTGTGCTATAAGAAATGATGAACAGGCTGACTTCAGAAAAACCTGGGAAGACTTATATGGTCTGATGCTGAGTGAAGTGAGCAGAACCAAGAGGACTTTGTATACAATAGCAGCCATGTTATGCAATGACTAAGAATGTTAAACTGTAAATTATTCTCCTAGTTCTGCTCACCTTGCTCTAGATCAGTTCATAAGTCTTCCTAGGTTTCTCTGAGATTATTCCTTTCATAATATCTTATGTTGCAATAATATTCCATTCCATTCATTTATCTTAATCCTTATTTTTTGCTTTACTTTAGGGTTATCATGGTTTCTCTCCCCCACCTTTCCCACCCCTAGGCCTTGATTTTTTTTCTCAAGCTGTTAAATGTATACATACTAATCTTTCACTCATGAAGAAATTTCCAATCTGGATTTAAAAGGCATTGTGTAAATTTCTACAGTAATTTTTTGTTAACAAAAAAGTAATTTAACTAAACTCAGGAGATAACCCCACATCCTACTAGTGGTAATCCCTTTTTTTTCCCAGTGAGTAAATTTAATAGATTAAAAATGCCCTTTATTTAAGAATCTCCCACAAAATTTCAAATAAATCTTCTGTTAAAATGGGGAAACTGAACCATTGCTAGCATCTTGAGGATATTTGAGGGGTCCCTATACTAGAACCCCATGTTAAGAGATGGAATTTTTTTTTAAAACAAAATCAACAGAGGCAACCAAAGTTAACAGGTGTCCTTTTTTTTTTTCTTAAATACTGTATGATCTCCAAATTGGCTCATTGCAGAATTAAAGTTAGCAGTCTTCCCAGTCACAATGCAGAGGTAAAGTTGGCTTTTTATTTAAATGCCAGCTGGTCAATTAACATGTGCCTGAATTTTCTGATGTTATCTTTGGTCATATTAAGGTTTCCAGAGAACTCAGCTCCCAATGTATAAGGTTCTGGCTAATTCTCTGCTGAGAAAAAAAAAAGGAAGAAAAAGAAAAGAAAGAAAAAAAACTCACAGAGACTTGCAGCATTTCTGTCCTGCATTATTCATTATGAGGTTTCTGGATTGTGTTCCCCAGGCACTGGAAAACCTTGGGTAGGCCAGGTTTGAGTACTGACAGATAACATTGGACTATTCAACCCTCCTCTCATATATATGGTACTGTCTCCTGGCTATTTCTTCTCTCTTCTCATTTCCTGCCTCTCTTTTCTACTCTGCTAACACTAACTTAATTACAATTCCTTTTTCTGATGTTTTACACACAACTCTAAACCTTTCATTTCATTATACTTCTTTTGCCTATGTACCCTTTAATTACCTGTAGGCAAAGGACCCTAATTTCTTTTTTTGTTGTTATTAATACTTTTTTTTCACTTTTTAAAATTTTTTTTATTTTTTCCATATGCTTTTGAGTTGAAAATTTTTCTCCCTTTTCCTCCCCCCCACCCTCCCCAAGAGGCCGTACAATCTGATATAGGCTTTACATGTACATACCCATTAAACATATTTTCACATTAGTGGAGTTGTAAGTAAAAATTAAAACCAATACGAGGAACAATCAGAAAGAGGAAACAAAACTCAACAGAAGGTAAAAATAAGTGAGAGCGATTTGACTTCCATAGTTCTTTCTTTGGATGTGAACAGCATTATCCATCCCTAGGCCTCCAGAAATGTCATAGATCCTCATAATGCTAAGAAAGATTCAGTTTAACAATCTTAGTCATTGCATAACGTGGCTGTTATTGTGTACAAAGTCCTCTTGGTTCTGCTCACTTCACTCAGCATCAGACCATATAAGTCTTCCCAGGTTTTTCTGAAGTCAGCCTGTTCATCATTTCTTATAGCACAATAGTATTCCATTACATTCATATACCACAACTTGCTCATCCATTCCCCAATGGATGGGCATCCTCTCAATTTCCAATTCTTTGCCACCACAAAAAGAGCTGCTATGTATATTTTTGTACATGTGGGTCCTTTTCCCATTTGTTTGATCTCTTTGGGATATAGCCCTAGAAGTGCTATTGCTGGATCAAAGGGTATGCACATTTTTGTAGCCCTTTGGGCATAGTTCCAAATTGTTCTCCAAAATGGTTGGATCCATTTCACAACTCCACCAACAATGCATTAGTGTTCCAGTTTTCCCACATCCTCTCCAACATTTATCATTTTCCTGTTT